ATATATATATACAGGGTGGTGAATCGGCAAACGGGCCATAGGAAACTCAATGGTAAATTCTAAATTGTTGAATTCCTGCTTCCCTAATTATTTTACACCAAAAGTCATGGGAAACTATTTGTAGAGGACTCAAATATGTACCGAAAACAACTGTTAAAATTATTCTACGACTTAAACGTATTCCAAAATTTTGCTAAAATATAATACATTTTTCTGTGAAAAAATGTGTATTACGTGTTGCGTTTTGTCATATTATTGTTTCTGATATTTGACAATATTTAAATCAATTATATTATATTTATCTATGATTTAAATGGCCAAAATTTTATGATTTAATGTTTAAAAAAAATTAAGTTGATTAAAAAATGTACTCAGTTGAAGAGAAAAAAGCAATAATAAAAATGTTTTATTCATGTTTTATTATAATATTTGTTATAGTTTTATGTTTAGAAATAATCATATATTATTATTAGGAATAAAGATCACAGTAACAGTATATTGGAATTCATTGAATAGTTGTATAACTTAACTTAACATGGAATTAAATTTTAGTGAATTAGAATATCTTACGTTAAATAAAGATCCGGTAGTGGCAGGAAAAGGTTCGCGCTATTGCCTGAATACAACGTTATGCGATTTTTCGTCAACTGAGTACATTTCATTATATTGATCGATTTGTAAACAATATTATTTATTGTTCACAAAGTAATAATGTTCAGTAGTAGTAGTATTTAGTAAAATTCATTGTTTATAATTTAATCATAAAATAAAAAGATTGACAATTCAAATTGTCAAACATCTGACATTAATATGATAAAACAAACACATCCTAATATATATTCTTGCATTACGTGTGGCCTAACTTTTAGGGGTGGTCTGAAAAATGTATCACATTTTTTTAAAATTTTGAAGTACAGTTGATTTGTAGAACGGTTTTAACATGTGTTTTTAATTCAGATTTTAGTCCTCTACAAATAGTTTTTTATGACTTTTGATCTAAAATAATTAGGGAAGCAGCAATTCAACAATTTAAAATTTCTCATTGAGTTTCCTATGGCCCGTTTGACGATTCACCACCCGGTATATGTATATATATGTATATATATATATATATATATATATATATATATATATATATTCGGATAGATTTCCGCGGTCAGATGAATGAAAATCACTAGGTTCTCGGGAAGAACCGCGTTGAGAATTTAATGCTCGACGTTTCGGCTCCCGTTTTGGAGCCATTATCAAGAGGGATACGGTTCGGTTCGAGTTCTGGGTCTCAATCTGCCTACTCCCCTCACTCGACACGTACCAGTATCGTGTTCAGTATTATAAATACAAGAACTATCTCTCGGCACTGAGGTCTTAATCTGCCTACTCCACAGTGTCGAGTGACAACCGGTCTTATCCTGTGACGCTGCTTTTATACTCGCTGTAAGCGCGGGAACGGTATGGGCTGACGTGGTCTGAACTGACGTGGCCTGAACGGTATGGGCGGGAGGTCGCTGAAGTAGGGGTCGCCATGTTGGCGGCAATCGTTTTGCGTCGTCGCGCGTATTTAAGCTGTTAGGCCGTTTTTTCGATTTCGATGGCTTCACGAATGATTCTTGATTTTACGGAGCGGATGGGGCCGATGGTTTTTGCTTTTTCGAAGTCTATTTTGTGGCCTGTTTGAATGTGATGTTGGGCTAGGGCTGAAGTAGTATCGGAATGTTTGACTGATATAGAATGTTCGTAAACACGGTTATGGATTCGTCGATTTGTCTGTCCGATGTATGTACGTGGGCAACTGGAACAAGGTATCTCATAGACACCATGGTCTTCATTAGGGATCTGGTCTTATACGGATCTGACGAGATTGGACAACTTGGATTGAGTAATAAAACACCTTGGAGTGAGTGGACACCTTTAATAAAAGGTAGAAAAATTTTGGGTTGATCCGAGGGCAAGGTTTCTTTTTTGGATGGAATGGGGTTTGGTCTCGCGGTTCTTCCCGACAACCTAGTGATTTATATATATATATATATATATATATATATATATATATATATATATATAATATGGGCTATGTGACTTGAGAGGAATATATGAGAAGTAACCTGACGAAGAATAAGCCATTTATCTATTTCTTACTCTAATCTGTTTACTACCTGTTTCTCTTGAAGGCGCTCTAATTTTTAATTTAATCTGTATCTAACAGGTTTTGGTACGGTCACTGTTGGTATTTTCTACCCTATATCTTCTGCAATCATGTTGCAAATGAGAAGCGATGAAGCTTATCACTTCATGAATTAATGAAGATATCAGAGATGAACAAGATAATTCAGATATTGGTTGACACTCTGAGACCGAAGATGAGTTGTGTCATTTTGCATCTTCAAGATCAGTCCCATTTAGTACATTATCAGTCTTAAGTAAAATCAATAAACGCCCAATACTGTTATCCACGCATTAGAATTAAATGCATCAAGTAGGATTTTGGAACAAAATATTGATCCATATTCTTCAGTCAACAGTTAAAGTTAAAAAGATCCTAATTGCAATGTTAATGATCAAAAAATATATTCGAAAGCGGCTACAAACATTAAATTCTTCTTCTTCTTCCTTTTTGAGTGCCTCTCCTATCGGAGATTGGATATCATTATGGCGATTCTAATTTTATTAACTGCTGTTTTGAATAATTCGTTAGTGGTACAGCCAAACCACTCTCTAAAATTTCTCATCCAGGACATTCTTCTACGGCCTGGATTTCTGCGTCCTTGGATTTTTCCTTGCATTATATTTTGTAGGAATGTGTACTTTTGTCCTCTCATCAGGTGGCCTAAGTATTCAAGTTTTCTCTTTTTTATATTCATAATAACTTCTGAATCGTTATTTATTCTGCGTATTACCTCGTCATTTGTAATTCTATCCACCCAACTTATTCTTAGTATACGGCGGTAGCACCACATCTCAAAGCATTCAAGATTTTTAATATTCCTCTGCTTAAGAGTCCATGCCTTAACACCGCAAAGCAAAGTACTGAATACATAGCATTTTAACATTCTAGTTCGTAGATGAATACTAATATCACGATTACAAAATAATTTTTTCATTTTTATAAAGGTAGACCTGGCAATTTCAATACGTCTTTTTATCTCGTGATTTTGGTCACCTGTTTCATTAATGAGGGTTCCCAAGTATTTGTATTTGCTTACTTTTTCAAGTTGGGTACCGTTTATTGCGATACTAATGTCATGTATTGGACTGAAGGTCATATATTTGGTTTTTTTTGACGTGCATCCTTATGCCGTAGTTATTACATATCTCATTCATACTTTCAATTAGATGTTGTAGATCTTCCACTGTTCTTGCCATTATCACAGTATAGTCAGCATATCGAATGTTATTGATAACTTCTCCATTGACTATTATCCCTTCGTTTGCATGTGAGAGAGCTTCTTGGCATATTTGTTCGCTGTAGATATTAAACAAAAGCGGTGACAATATACAACCCTGTCGTACTCCTCTACGTATTTCTATTTCGTCCGATGTTTGTTCTTCTACCTTTATATTAGCTCGCTGATTCCAGTACTTACAGATTTCATATTATCTGTATGTCTCTGGTGTCGATGTTCTTACCTTCCAGGATTTCTTTGAGTTGATTGTGGCGTACTTTGTCAAACGCCTTTTCAAAGTCTATAAAGCAGGCATGCACCTCTTGGTTAACATCTAGACATCTTTGTGTTAGGACATTTAAGGCAAAGATAGCTTCCCTTGTACCTAATCCTTTTCTGAATCCCATCTGCGTATCGTTAATATTAATATCTAACTTTTGATCGATTCGGTTGTGGATGACTCTAAGAAATATTTTAAGCAGGTGACTCATCAAGGAGATTGTTCGATGATCTGAACATTGCATTGCCTTAATTTTCTTCGGTATGCTGACGAACGTAGACAGCAACCATTCTTGAGGTATTATACCAGTACTGTATATTGTATTGAATATATTTAATTTTGTGGTTACGGATTTATTATTCAAAATCTTCGACAATTATGTAGGAATTTCATCAGGTCCATTTGATTTTCCATTTTTAGCGTTTCTTATTGCGTATTCTACTTCTTCTTTCAATATGTCTGGCCCAGTTGTATTAATTATCTGAGTTAAGTTGTTACTATCGTCTTCAAATAATTCATTCAGGTATTCTGTCCATCTTTTTATTTTATTCTCTTGATCTACAATAAGATTTCCATCTTTGTCTTTAAGTTTACCTATTTGGCATTTATTTATGCTTCCTGTTATCTCTCTTACTTTTTTGAGCATATTGAACGCATCGTACTTTTTCTCATGGGTTTCCATTTCTTCACACTGTTCTTTAATCCAATCCTCTTTGGCTTCTTTTATTCTCTTTTTTATGTGTTTATTTATTTCTTTGTATTTGTTTGGGTAATTCTTCATCTTTCTTCTTTGTTCCATCAAGTCTAGTATATCTTGTGTCATCCACCCCTTATTCTTTGTTGTTGTTTTTGTAAGATGTTTCTTTCCTGCCGTTTGTATAGCTGTATTTATGTACTTTAATTTTTGGTTAACGTTATTTGTATCGTTAATTTGTTGCTGCATTGAATGGAGGTTTTCATTTATTTCTTCTCATGTTTCTTGTCGTATATTTGTGTTTCTAAGTTTATTTAAATCTAGTGCCTTTCTGTGTGGTCTTCTAGTGGAGACGAACGAAAAGCCAGAATTTGATGCAAAACTTAGACCAAAGAAAACGATCAAATAGAGACTTATTAAAATTAACTAAGAATTCTCAAACTACAACATCTGGTGTACAAAACTTTTGTGTTTGATCAGACTTTTGGTGTACAGTGTAGTATTAAAACATAGAATATTCTTACAGAGAAGTTAGGACTTTGAGAGCTTCAATATTTTTCTTAACTGTTATATGGGACTGTAATAAATACTATTTACCAAAAATAGAGTGTGAATGTCAGTTCACTATATCAATAATTTGCCCTATAAAATGTTAAACTACTATCTTGAGCATCTGTACACTAAAGGTATGTATTTCCTTTAGAAATAAAATTAAATGGCCACCACTGGCTCATCTAGAAGCTCCTAGCTAACTTACCCTCCCCCTCCTCATTTTAGAAACGTCCTCGTTCTACATAAGTCAGTCAGACAACTTCAATTTGCATGAATATGTATGCGGCTTTATGAAGAGCTTTTTTCCTGCTTTTTTGGTGCTTTCATCACTTCAGGACACGAAAGCCTCTACGCGAAATGAAGAGATGGATTTCTAAGAAGGTGGAGTGAAATCGCAGAAATTCCAGGCATAGTTTCGCAATTAAACGTCGTTTTAGCTTGAAAACTTGAAACGAGAATTTTATTTTTATGTCAAGTATTTTAATGTGGTATGTAAGTACCATATAAAAGAGTAGGTAATACATTAATCAGGGGAATGATGGTGTTTGTACTTTTACTACATGAAACGTTTTTAAATAATAAGCTCTCTACAAAAAATTTATAAAAATATCGTAGAGGTAGTTTAAAAAAAACGAGGAAAAAACCATTTACAATATATGTTGTATATATTTGTGTATTTGTGTATTAAAATAAACATTTTTATCTGAATTTTATTATTTAAAACTAGTGTTTTAGTTTTGTAATATGTGATTAACTTAGCCCAATCATCTTATATCAATTTTTCTGTATGCTTTACACAATTAGCCCAATATAGCCCAGTAATGTAAAAAGTAGAAGAATATACAGAATATGGTCTGGGCAACAGAAACGAAAGGGGTGACAGGCTTATCGAATTTTGCCAAAACAATAATTTTGTTATAGCTAATACATTGTTCAAAATGCCAAAGAGAAGACTATATACCTGGAAGTCACCAGCAGATCGAGAAGAGAGAATTGTAAGAAACCAAATAGACTATGTATTAGTTAGACAAAGATACAGGAATGCAATTATATCCGCAAAAACCTATCCAAGTACCGACATAGGATCAGATCACAACCCAGTAGTGACCAAAATTAGGCTCAAAATGAAAATAATAAAACGAAGAACAACAAATGCAAAAATCGATACAAGTAAATTAAGGAATCCACTCATAAGACAACGCCTGGCAGATGGAATCAACAACGGATTAATAAATTTTAAAGAACAAATTCTGCAAAATACTAAGATAAAGAAAAAATGGTTATTAATAACGAAAGAAATAGATAAAAATCAGAAAGAAATTCTAATACAAACCAGATATAAAAAGAAGCAATGGATGACGAAAGGAATTTTAGATTTAATGGAAAAAAGACGTCACTATAAGAACAAAGATAGTCAGATGTACAAAATAGTGGATAAACAAATAAAATACAGAATTAAGAAGGCGAAAGAAACAATGACTATAAGAACAATGCGCAGAAATAGAAGAATACCAGAAAAGACATGATAGTTTTAACTCACAACAATAGAACAAGAAAATCGGGAATACTGAAAGATGAAAATGGGAAACTTGTGTTGAATACCAACGACAAATTAAAGAGATGGACGGAATACCTCAATGAACTATTCAAAGACAATAGAACAGAAAAGATGGAGATAGAAGTAGAACAGGATATGGTTTTAAAGATATTAAAAGAGGAAATTAAAATGGCATTAAAAAACAGCAAAAATGGTAAAGCATTAGGTCCAGACGAAATCCCTATAGAAGTCTTAAAATGCATGAATTATGAAACCTTAGACATTATAGTAGACTTATTTAACACAGGATATAAAACAGAACACATACCGAAACAATGGTTACTCTCCACCTTTTATGCTATCCCTAAAAATACGAACGCTAAATATTGCAGTGAATACAGAACAATATCACTAATAAGGCACATTCTCAAATTATTTCTGAAAATAATACATGGTCGTATAAATAAAAAAACTGGAAGAAGGAATAGATGATAGTCAGTTTGGGTTCAGAAACGGACTAGAAATCAGAGAAACGTTATTTGGTTTTAATGTGTTAGCTCAAAGATACATGGATATGAATGTTGATGTGCATGTTTGTTACGTTGATTTTGAAAAATCATTTGACAAAGTAAGACATGAAAAATTAGTCCAAATTCTAAAGACAAAAAACATTGACCACAGAAACTTACGAATAATAACAAACCTCTATTGGAATCAAAGAGCACAAATCGTCATAGATAACGGACCCAGTCCAGAAATTAAAATCAGGAGAGGAGTTAGGCAGAGATGTATTATGTCCTCATTACTATTTAATGTATATAGTGCAGCCATTTTTGAAGAAGCATTACTATCTCAAAGTGAAGGAATAATAATTAACGGAAGATCTATTAACAACATAAGATATGCAGATGATACCATGATTATGGCAAGCTCTGCTGAACAATTCCAATTACTGCTAAACAAAACAAACAGTTTCTGTGAAAAATATGGACTAAAAATTAATATGAAAAGGACCAAATACATTATAATAACAAAGAAAACAAATATACCAACAAACAGACATTTGGGAGATGTAGTGATAGAAAGGGTTGATAAATACAAATCCCTAGGAACCTGGATTTTAGACAATAATGATCCAACAACCGAAATAAGAGCTAGGATAGAAATAGCAAGAAATGCGTTGGTAAAAATGAAAACAATTCTCTGCAACAAAGATCTTAGATTATAACTGAGAGTAAGAGCACTGAGATGCTACGTGTTTTCGATACTGCAATATGGACTTGAAAGCTGGACATTGAAGCAAGAACACATAAATAAGTTACAGTCCTTTGAAATGTGGTGTTACAGGAGGCATCTCTCTGCAGCGGTTGTTGGTTTAGTCTCAGTGGGGTTGCGCCGATATCCACTTTACTGGTCACCATGTATTTAGTTTTATCGATATTTATCGACAGTCCCCAATTTGTGCATTCCATGTCAACTCTATTGATTAGCTCCTGCAGATCGTCGATGTTTTCAGCTAGAATCACAGTATCGTCGGCGTACCGTATATTGTTAATTATTTCTCCTCCTATGATAATTCCTTTTTGATCTTTTAAAGCTTCCCTAAATAGATTCTCAGAATACACGTTAAAGAGGGTGGGAGATTATATACAGCCTTGTCTTACGCCTCGTTCAATACTGACTGGCTTTGATTCTCTGTTGTTGGTATTAATAATGGCTGTTTGGTTCCAGTAAAGTTTGGCAATAAGTTTGATGTCTTTCTCATCTAGTTGGATGCTCTGCAAGGCGGTAATTAGTCTGGTATGCTGAACGCGATCAAATGCCTTTTCAAAATTAATGAAGCACATATATACGGGTTTTCTTACCTCCCAACATCGTTGAAGGAGTGTTTGCATAGAAAATAGTGCTTCTCTAGTTCCAAGGCATCTCCGGAACCCGAACTGCTCTTGACTAATTATTTCTTCGCACTTGTTGTTAATTCGGTTTAGAAGAATATGCAACAGTATTTTAACGGCATGGCTCATTAAACTAATGAGTCTACAATCGCTACATTTCTTAACGTTTGGTTTCTTATGTAGAGGAATAAAGATCGATTTTAACCAGTCCGATGAAATTTCACTGGTATATATTTGATTGAAAAGTACAGTAAGTTCTTTTATATTGTCATTTGAGAGTAATTTTAGCCATTCACTGTATATTTGATCTGGTCCACTGGCTTTGTTGTTTTTGGCTTGGTGTATGGCTTTTTCCACTTCAGCTTTTAAGATTGATGGTCCTGTATTTGCACTTAAGTTAGGTAGTGATCCTCAATCATCCTTAAATAATGCTTTAATGTAGTTTTCCCATTCCTCCATTACTTCGTCTTCTAGGGATAGTGCATGACCTTCATTATTCGTTAATGTTATGGGTGTATTTCTTTTGTGTACTGTAACTTCTTTTATTTTCTTATGTGTGTTAAATTCGTCATGTTTTCGTTGCAATTCTTCTAGTTTTTCACATTTTGCTCGCATCCATAACTCTTTGGCTTCCCTGATTTTTCGTGGAATCAGATTATGCTTTCGTTTATACTCTGAGTTATTTCTATTTTTAAGCTGTCTTCTTTCGTTCATCATTTCGATTATTTCATCTGTCATCCACGTTTGCTTTTTATAATGGGTGACAGTTCCACTTTGCGTTGCTGTATCGATGATACCATGATCTTTATGTTATCCCATCTTTCTTCGACTGTTGATACATTGTATACTTGTGTGATGTTATCTCGAATTTTTTCGTTTATTGTCTGTTCAAAGTTATGTTTAAATCCTTCTTCTTTTAGTTTTTGTCTATCGTATTTCTTTGTAATGGAAGGCTTTTTGATTGTCTTTAATTTTAGGTTGATTCTAGATGCCAGTAAATTGTGATCGATGGCTGCGTCGGCACTTGGATATGTCAGTTTCGATTATTAAAAACTAATAATCGAAAAAAGATAAAAACTGGTAAAAGTGATTTAAATAACATACTGTTACTATCGAAACGAGTAGATAACGTTTGAACATCTTTAACAGTTTAAATATGATTATATCGTTGTTTACACACCCTGCATCGCTTATTGAAATTTAGTTTATAATAATTTACTTCATCAAAAACAACACAATAAATGCTTAATGTATTTTTCTGTTGCAGGTACAATGCTTCTGGTTTTATACACAATACTAATCTTCTTCCTACGATGTTTCGACTGTTTCTCGTCAAGTGACTGCAGCTTTAATTCCATGTGTTCTTGTTCATTAGACGAGCACGACTCCACCGCCAAAACGATTCACAGTGTCAGTTGCCTTTCAGTTCCGTTTTACAAATTTCCAAGTAAGTACAAGTAATTAAGCGTCAGCAATTCGGGAAATGTTTCAAAGAAAACTGCTCTAATTTGGAAAATAACAGCTTAAAAACTATAACTAAACTTTGCAGGCAGGCGTTAATTAAAAATTGAACGGGTTAAAGTTTTTTCAAACGTGTACTTAGTTCTTAAGAATTTTCATTGGAGATTTTTATTTCTCAACTTCCTCAAAGGGAGTTTTCACGGGGAATTCGACCTTAGTTTCTACTCGTTTATCCAGCAAAGTAAATATAAAAGTACACTACTGGACAAAAATAAGCGGAAATGTTTGAAATTATCTTTAATTGCTAAAGACATAGCGGTAAAACGTTTCTTAAAAGCATTTGTAAAATCATAATTTATCAGTAATTTATTGTATTCTTTAATACATTTAGATTGAAATAAATCCTATAAAATTTTAAGTTATCTTTTCTTCACAAAACTTGAAGAACTATCATCTCTTGATAATCTTGTCATTACTGGATATTTTAACTTCCCGGAGATCACCTGGCCAATAACTTCATTATCTGAAGCCGAAAACGCTCATAATTTATTTAAAACCTTCTACTTTAGATCTAGTCCTTATTAATGACGAACAGCTGATTTCATCTCTCGAAGTCAGTTCTCCCATAGGAAAGTCAGATCATGCAGTTATAACGGCTCACATCCAGTTCAATCAAATATTACCTCGCAAAAATAACATTGTAACATATGCTACTACCGACTTTTCTGAAGTTAACATTGAGCTCTATAAAATCGACTGGCATTTATTTTTTGCAAACTTAAACGGCCCCTCATTAATGTGGACTGCATTTCTCGATAAAGTCCACAATATAATTTCTACAGATACCATTTTCCTTAAGAGTTATAAAAATAACCTTAAACCCTGGATAAATCGAACAGCAATTAAACAAATTAATCACAAACGACATCTATGGCGAAAATTTAAACACACCAGGCTTCTTAGTGATTTCAGCCACCGCAGATTTTCAAATAACTTAAAAACATCTCTAAAAACCCTAAGACAAAATTTTGAAGCAAATGTTATTGAAAGTAATGGTAACATTAAAAAAGTCTACAAATACATACGTTTCTCCATGACGTCTAAAGTGTTCATTCCTCTACTTCAAAAATCCAACCAGACTTTATGCTCTTCTGATAAAGAATCTTCTGAAACTCTTTTTTTAGCATTTTCACAGGTTTGTTCTTAAGAATCGAATGATGGTTTTCTACCTGCTATTAACTGTAATCGTGTCGGCGTATCCTTACAGTAAGTTGAATTCATAGTCAAACAACACTTAATTAAACTTCGCACAGCCGCTTCACCTGGTTTAGATGGTTTAACACCAAAACTGTTAAAAAGGTGCGCAGACACGCTTGCAATACCCTTAACGTAAATTTGCAAACTTCTTTCATCCAGAACTACTTACTCCCTAGTTGGGAATTAGCTTCCGTTACCCCTATTTTTAAAAAACGCAACAAACTCGACCCCAACAATTATCGTCCGATTAGCTTACTGCCAGTAGTTGCCAAAGATATGGAAGCCATTATTTCCGACGAGATGACCAAATTCCTTCTCCGGGAACATGTTATTCCAACACAACAACATGGATTTGTCTCTGGTCACTCTACTCTAACTAATCTCCTACATTGTGTTAACGACTGGACGTCATCCCTTAACAGTTCGCAGCCGGTCGACCTTGTTTTTTTAGATTTATCTAAAGCCTTTGACCATGTACCTAAGCGCAGACTTCTACATAAGCTAGAACATTTCGAAATTTGCGGTACTTTACTTCGTTGGAGAGATGATTTCCTGACAGATCGATATTACAAAGTTAGAGTTGGCGAATCTTTTTCACAGGACAGGTTAGTGTAAAGTGAAGTGCCTCAGGAGCTCCATTTAAAAAAAGTTTTATTTCATCAGGATGTAAAATTTTAGATTTTTTGTTTTTAAAACATTCTGATTGCTTTTTAGATAGGCTCGCAATTTTGGGTAATTTTCAATATTAACATTATTTTTCAAATAAGCATATATTGCCCATAATGAGGATGGTTTAAATTTCTTAGCGATTTCTTCAAAATAAGCCAAAAGTACGTTTTCAGAAATTTAATTTACAATATTTGTTGTACGCCAATCCATAAATTGCTGATATACCTTTTCATATCTTCCTCTAGATTTTTCTGGTAATCGGTTCTCGGTAGTGTTCACAGCTAACTGCATAATATTGGGTGGTGTGCTACTAAATTCATCTTCACTATTCGATAAACTCATTTTATTTATCTCTATTTAAATTACCACTATATTTACACTGACAGATTAATAATTTTTAATCTGTCAAAATAACGTCTGTTAATTTCTTTTCCATGGTAACTCGACCAACTGACTTACAAGGCTTATGTGATATTACACATTTTTATAGAACTGAAGCGTATTTTTTTTTATTACGTGCTAGTCATTACGTATCAGTATACTCCATTCGCTTAGCTCGGGCATATTTTGACAGATTTATTGTCAGAAACCTACAACACAACAATTCCTACTTCCCAGTATTAATAGCTCAAGTATAATATTATTGTAGAATTCTTTCTTTGAAAAAAAAAAGAATTATTCTAAATAGTGGAAGTGTATACTAAACTCATCAAATTTTGGGTAGTATTATATTTAAAAAATATATTTTAGTTGTTATAATTTAACATAACTATTTATTATATGGTGCAGATAAATAAATATTGATTGTCGGTAACTTGCAAAGTTCTATTTTATTTACTGTTTAGTTTGTTTACTATTAATATTGGCTATGAGTACGTGTACTTGGTTGTATAGTAATTTCTTGTCTTCACTTGTAGTCTGTCAAAAACTAACTAACTTCGCAAAAAAATAATTACTAAAGTCACTACACAGTTCGTACTGGGAATAGCGAACCGAGTATATCTGTTTTGATTATGGTCGTATAAATACGTCCATGTATCCAAATTTGTATCCAAATAGTAGGTAATATACAATTTACTACTAAGAGAGTAGAAAAAAGATATTATTTTCTACTTTAATTGAATGATAAATAAATGAATGAATAAGAAGCAAATATACTCTATAAACAACATTAAATAATGTAAATTAAAATATATTATCCTGCCTCTCTTTATATCCCTTCATCCGCATTTGTGGTTTTCAGATTTACCCGAAGGCAGCATCAGTCAGCTGGAAGTAGTCGGGACTAGAACAACGATCCTCGAATCGGAGAGTCTGGCGGGTTGCCAAGTGCAGGCACTTATTCTTACCAATAACCATCTTCAGCATATCTCAGATCGAGCTTTCAGGTGAGTCTTAAGTGCCACTCTTGGCCTAGTGTCCTTTGCATTGCGATCTGACCTTTGCAGTTACTCGACCGACACTTTATTCGTTTTCACAAAAGGGGTACTTTAACTCTGACGGGTAGATTAATTACTGGCTTCCCTTTTTATTAAAGTGGAATAGAAAGTAGATTCTTTGGTGAATAATTTTACATTTTTTAGATTATTGATTTGATTTAGTCAGCAAAAATTATTTATAATATTTAAATACAAAGTTACATAACCTGCTTAACGTAACATAAGTTACTAATACTACTCTAAAAAAATAATTTCTTCCCTCCAGGACTCAAATCTTAGTACAGTATGTTTTAGAAAAACGAATATGATAAAGAAATTATTTTATTAGTTTTAGTTTTAGATATACTGTTGTACTTTTGAATGTCCATAAGCAATAAAAAACCGATATACAAATTTTATTACTTAAATAAAAATTAAAATTATTGATATTTCATAAAGACACGGGCATATAAATTTTCAAACATCCTGTATAAGACAAAATATGTATCTTAAGTTGTTCGAAGAATTGTTCATTAGGCCTCAGAGACAAGACTTTCAAATATTATCGATAAGAAATTTAATATTGTTCTGAAGCTATTTTCTTGTGGCATTGTAAATTAATTACTATTTATAACTGGGAATAAGCCACAATTAAAGATAAAAAATACGTTTATTTTAATATAATTTTAATATTAAGAAATTTAAATAAGTCGGTTATTGTGGAATGGATTTACCCGGAATAAAAGTGTATATAGAAAGTGTTTAAACAATAGACCGGGATTTGCGGTGGTTTTTCTCCCCGAAAGATTATATCGGTAGAAGTTTATTACCAAAAAACATTGAATTGAGAAACAGGTATCGTTTGTAGCTATTAGTAAGAAATATTTGTAAAGCAGATAGATTTAGTTAGAATAATTAAAGAATGTTGTTTTCTGGAATTACCCGAATGACGTTTTATAGAGAGAGTTGGTTGGTAACGATATACGTCACAGAGGTGGATGATTTTTATTGGTCAATTTTTGAATGCAAGGAGGTGGTGGTTTTTGCTATGAGATAGGAGAGAGGAAAAAAGTTAGTCAGTTTTCGTCGTCCAAGAAGGAAGGAGCTTTGTGATTTGTGTTTGTTTGAAGTCCCGAAGACGTAATTTACCGGGTGTGTTTATTTGCTGTGTAAAAGCTGACCAGTGTGAGGAACGGGGTACAGAGAGATAGAAAAACCAAAGGGTATAAGAATATTAATATCAGACGAAGCCGGAAACATTTGGAGTTATAAACAGGCGCGGAGATTGGCTCAAAAGGAGGCTGCATAGAATAAAACGAGTTGTTGGGTTGCAGATACAAGGACAGATAGGAGAAAGGTGTACGTCATCTGGACCAAAATAGGAGCAGAAGCAGAGAAAGGTTTTTTTTTGTGGCGTGGCCATAGAATTGCACCGACAGAGAAAGAAAGGTCAGTCAATTTTCATTAGAGCAGGAGTGTGGTTTTCATTTATTAATTAAATAAATTGAATAAATAATAGAGACAGTTAATTTGCGATCATTAAAAAAAAATTATAAAAAGAGCTTAGTTATAACACATATTAAAAATCAATGTAAAATAACATTTGGGTCCATGATAGAAAACAACTTCTCATATATTTAAAGTTAGTATATTGCAAATATTACAGGATTGATTGTTATGTAAAATTTCATTAAAATAAAGGACATCTCACATATAGTTCAATTGAAATTCTATGTATTTTATTCAGGTCATATTACCTATCCCAATTAGGAAGCCAATTGGAAAATATTTTGAATCCACGATCAAAGGTAAATAGAACAATTTAAATAGCCTGAGATTGTAATTAAATAATGCTGATTTATTGTGATTAATTGGAGATTAGATCATTTAATAAATATAGACAGGATTTTTTCTAAATAAGCAATATAATACAATTTAAATAGCATAACAATACATAGGTATCTTTACGCATTAAAATATAAACACAAATATTTTTTATATGGTAAACTACTTAAAACTCCATTTGAATTACCTTTATTGAGGATTCTATTCCAAAAGTCAGTGTTGACTGACTTTTGAAACGTGGCAGTTCTGAGTTGACCGTTGAATGCTGGCCGAAGAGGAAATCCAAGTACCCGAAAGTAACTCAGAGCCTCGCAGCAAGACGGTTCCGAGGGAGGCCAAGGCACGAAACCGAACATGGATCCATGAAACCCAACTTGTAAGAATTAGGCTCACTTCACTAAGAGCCAATCCTTATGCCGAAGTTACGGATCCAATTTGCAGACTTCCCTTACCTACATTATTCTATCGACTAGGGGCTCTTCACCTTGGAGACTTGCTGCTGATATGAGTACGAACAGGCGCGAGCCTCCACGTGGCTCTCTCCTGGACTTTCAAGGTCCAAGGGGAAGATCCGGACACATCTGCAACTGCGGTGCTCTTCGAGTGAAAATACTAGGAGTGAAGAGCATCATGTGTGGTTTAAAAATAAGAAATATCGTTGCAAAATAGCTCGGTTTTGTACATAATCAAACGACATTTAATAATGATGGCATACAAAGATTTGAAGCTGGAGACTTTGTTAGGTTTGTACTATTTTTTATAGTTGGTGAGTGTGCTTACAGTTTAAAATAATATTTAATGACATAGATAGATAAAATATTTAATGACATGGATGGATAGTACAGAAACAGAGAATCTTTATAATGAATCTCCCATACAAACTAGGAATGTTCTGGAAAGACAATACAAGGTATGGATTCCACCATGATGCTTCTTCGGCCACGTTTCTTATAAACAAATCCAATATCTTTCAGAAGTCTGTATAAAGTAGAAAGAGACAACGGCTGTATATTCTCATTACCTTGTATGAAGTTATGTATATGCTTTCAGAATGGCGGCAAATTTTTCATGAAAAATTCACAATGAACAATTCTCCGTAGAATACTTCTTACACCCTCGTCATATATGAATATTCTAGAATTTGATTGACACACTCGTTTTTTACGTTTTTTTTTTTGGCGATTTCAACGTTCCACTCTGTTCTTTTTCTTTTTTGAAATTGTAAATGCTTCTTTCGTTAACACCAGTCATCAACGAAGTACGTCTTACAGCAGCACTTACATTAAGTTGTTCTGTATTTTGTAAAAAACACAACACATTAACACTACGAGTTTAGCGCAACCGTTAAATAATTCACCGCATTTAAACTTATGGGACTCTTTGCTCTCTGTTGAAACTCGGACTCAATTTTGAAGTGTAGTTTCGTTTTCCAAAAGCACTTTCACCCCTACCCATCCTTAGGATGGGTAGGGGGTGAAATAGGGAAAGCTTGAAGTTTATCAAATACTAATTATGACAAACAAGTTTATGGCCATATTTAGGTGATAATGTTAATGATGGTAATTTGTAACAGAAGTTTTACAAAAGAAATGAAGACCTATTTATAGAAACAACATAACTGTATTTTTAATATTTTACATACAATAGAAAACATCTAATTTCTATGAAAGAATTGAAAATTTGAATATTATATATAATATCTAAGTTTCATTTCCAAGTTTCCAAATTCTTTCCTAGAAATTATGTAGGTTTTTTTATATTTTATGTAAAACATTAAAACTACAGTTATTAAATGTTGTTCTTGTAAATAGGTGTTCAAATGTTACTCTTATGAATATGGTTCAATTTAATATCTCATATTGACGTTTTATATGCAAAATTCATAGTTTTCGTTGTCAATAACCTATCAATGCCTTTTTATTCTACTGTATACGTATACATGATATAAAATATTTTACTCGTACTGCCGGTAGATGCATTTTATCCAAGCCGGTCCTGTGAGACAATGAGCAATCAACAGTTGGAGAAAACCGACAACCCTGCGCGTTTATTCTCCATAAGAAAAGCATTGCCGTATCTTACCCGTACTGCACTCTCAGTGTGACATTTTCTATAGTAGAGTGTCCGTTACACAGTGCGGAAAGATGTAAATTCGGAATCCCGGAGAATTTAAGAGAACTATTCTTAAAGTGCGGGGCCAAAGTGATTATCCAATATCTAAACTATTTATACAAAATTTAGTTGTTACGCTATTCAATTATTGTTAATACTTTTTCTTTTTTCACTAATAGCCTTACAGGCTGATGCGAGTTTGTAAATAAAAAAAATATTTCTAATGGCATTTCCTATATCCTAATCACGCCTATGTAACACTAAGTATAAAATAGGATAAAGTAATTTACAGCAACGATAAATCTCTTTTAACCACATATAGTATCACAATAAGTTAACAGCAATCCTCAGCTTGTGTGTATATACCTTTACTTATAATTCATTAAATACTGAAAATAACTGGTGTTCGTACTGAACACCATTAAGCAAGTATAATTAAAGTTTGGTTTATAGACAATAAAGTTAATGGATCGTAAAATTTTAATGAGAAACCATGTCGGCTGTAGACAGCTTATCGGCTTTTCGGAGGGGAAGTGAACGTCATTATAATTAAAAGAATTATACACCCCTGCTTATGAAGAAAGGGTTTTTTATTATTGGAGAGAATGGCCCTCTAGTTTACCTAGATTATAAACAATCACTTAGCGTGCAGAAAACTATATAAAAGTTGTGAAGGTAAACCGCAACTGCACGGAATGCGTATTGGTTTTCAGCAGATTATATCGAAGTCTTGAATTATAACGTATATTTTACATTTAGCTAAATGCAGTTTATCAAACAAAGAATATACCGAGTAATATTGGCGATTATAGGTTATTAAACACTTACATTACTAGTAGTTTAAACATAGCAAAAAGATTTTAATTCAAATATTTATAAAAGCAATGGTAAAAAATCAAATCCTACAAATATAGCTCATCTTTCAGCTGGTGCCGTTTCAAAACGTTGATCGTTCAATCTTTAACGGTGACATTGCGTAAAAAATATAAATTAAATTCTTCTTCTTCGCGTGC